AAACAACATGGCGTTCGCGATTTGACAGCATTAAGATAAGCGACAAATTGTTAAACTGGACATACTCGCAACTAGAAGGCTTTGGAAAACAATTTACAAGCGAAGGTACGATAACCTTGACGCGTTAAAGACTACAGTTAGGGAAAAGATAACCCAGATAGATGGTAGGACCATACTTAAGACAGTTCGAGCAGTTGAAAAACGTGCCCAAAAATGTATTGAAGAACAAGGTGGTGTTTTCGAGCATCTTCTTTAAAAAAAATTGTTATTGTATTTTGTAAGATTATAAGTTGATGTTGAAAATAAAGTTTGTCGATACAATTTAATTGTTTCAGATTGGAGGCCATAACTTCAACAATTTGTAACCTAGGAGAAAAGTTATTGTAAGCTTTTTTGTTTAAAATTTGATGCTTTGACAGAAAAAATATAATATACAGGGGTTTCCATTTAAAAAAATGTTATTTTACTGAAAAAAATCAAAATAACGACTCTCAATTGTTTTTTTTTATTTCTCATTTTTACCAGCGTTAAAAATGCTACTAGTTTGCTAATTCAAACAACTTTGTATTTTCACTAATAACAAAGTTACTAATGGTGGACACTTAATTTGGATAACCCTGTATATGACATTTGAGGGTACATTTCTAAACTATTGGCCATTATAAAGGGTGTTCCAATTTCATATCAAAGTTGTGATTTTTCAAATGTAATGCCTCAAATGTTATTGCATATTTGGTTAAACCAATTCAAAATAAGAAAATCGATATAACATACTATGGGTTTTTGGTAATTAGCTACTGAGATATAAGGTGTTTTGTCTAGAAAATCCATCCACTTTGCCATTTTGAAATTTGGAGCTTTCATCTTATTTGTTACTTTTTCGAATTATAATTTTTGCTCATACATGGTGGTCAAAAACGCAAATTGTAGTTTTTCTCAAAAATTTCAAATGCATCACTCTATATATTTGTGGAAGTTTGAATTCAATTTTTTATCAGCTTCATTTATACTGGACACATATGGCCTTTTACGGCTATTTTTTCGGTTATTAGCACGTCCTTTATTGAACGGCTTAATTCCCTAAAATGTCGCATCATCCTTGGAAACAAATAAATTGTTGGTTAGTTACAAACTGTCCAAATTAGCTTTGAGAGCATTATAATAAAAACTTGTTAGAAAATGAATTTTTCTAAAGAAGAAATGGTGAATATGGTGCTCGTTTTGGACGAAGCTCAAAGAAATAGTTTCCTAGCATCTCGCATTTCTGAGCAACCGTACCCTAATATGCGACATCCAAGGCAGGAAACATTTTCCACACGACGAGAACGTTTTTAATCAAGTGGGGCAGTGGAATATATTAAAAAATGTATAAATAATCCAAGTGTCGCCAATGAAGCGAATCATTTCTAGGTTCTATTGAAGTTGCAGGAAAATCCCGTTTTAAAAGCTCGGCAAATTGGAGCAGAAACTGATATATGCAGAACTTCTTCACTTCACCAGCATAGGTTCGTACCATCCATATTACCTATGCTCTCGCAGCTCGAATGGAGTTTAGTAGAATAATGCTAAATAAAGTGAGTGAAGACACCACTTTCCTGGATAAGGTACTTTTTAGCGATGAGGCAACTTTTAACAGCATAGGTGTTGTCAACAGGCATAACATGCACTATTAAGCGACGGAAAACCCTTACTGGGTTAGGCAAATAGTTTTCCAAAATAAATGGAGCTTAAATATTTGTGAAGGAGTTATTGGCAGACAAGTTATCGAGCCTTTCTTTTCCGACAACAGATTAACAGGTACAGAATACTTGAATTTTTTGAACAAGCATTTGCCTTTGCTTTTGGATATCAACCTGCAAACTCGGATGCATATGTACATCCAACATGACGGCGCACCAGCGCATTATCATAATCGTGTGCGTAACTATTTGGACACCTGGAGTAACAATCGTTGGATCTGTCGTAATGGGCCTACATCTTAGCTAGATCACCAGATATGACACCGATGGACTTCTTTCCAAGGGGCGAAGTTAAGCAAGAGGTTTATAGATATCCACCATCCACCCCGAAAAATATGAAGAAAAGGATTAAGGATGCTTTTCTGAACATAAGAGATCACTTGCTGAGGGATGTACAACTGTCATTTATCCGAAGACTACGACTGTGTATTCAACCTAGTGGAGATATTTTCGAGCAGTTTTTGTAGATTAGGTCTTGAGTAGTGATAGTTGTTTGTTTATGGTGTTGTTATAATTGTTTTTCTCTATTACGCTTGAAGCTGATTTATTCTGTGCTGTTTGTTATTAGTTTTTACGTCAAATCTGTACTCTTAGTGGTGATATGGAACTAGCCCACTGTTTGTCTTTTGTTTCCATGGATGATGTCATTTTTTTCCTTAATTTTGGAGTGTTATTAAAAACTTAATAACCCAAAATCCAGTGATTTTATCTGAATCAAAGCTTATACCAAAAAAAAGGTTATAAAGAAATTGAATCCAAACATGCACAAATATATAGGGTGATGCATTTGAAATTTTTGATAAAAAGTACGATTCGCGTTTTTCAAATGAAGGTTCGAAAAAGTAACAAATAAGATAAAAGCTGAGGTGTGTAAGTTTTTTTTGATACAAGATTCAGTACTCCACATTTCAAAATGGCGGATTGAGGAGTTATCGATGTGGACGGTTTTTCTCAACAAAACACCTTACATCTCGTAGCTAAGTACCAAAACCCCATAGTATGTAATATCAATCTTCTCTTTTCGAATTTGTTTATCCAAATATGCAATAAAATTTGAGGCATTCTATTTAAAAAATCACAACTTTGATATGTAGGTCAAAATTGGGACACCCTGTATAACTGCCAATATTTTAGAAATGTGCCCTCAAAGGTCATGTATAACATGCCATAAATAGATTTTCCTAAAATGTATTTGTTTATGATTAATATTCCGTCCATGCATGGATGGGCCGCCCTGTATATTTTGCTATAAAATGCCCTTTGAACAAACCCTGTATATTGCTCAGTAAACTAGTAGTGATAGCCGAAAGACAGGTGTTTCGGGATAAACAATTAGAAATCATCTAAAACCACTCGACCAAACGACTCCAATTTTGTTGTGGTTATTTTGAAGTATGAAGCCTACGGATTTGACAAATTTCAAATAGCTTCGTGAAATTATCGTCGCATTAGCAACAAGTACCAAAACCTGCATTTTGCCTCGGCTTTTGGCCATAACTTTTTTTAATATTAGTCGGATCTTTTTACGTGTGGTCTCATTTTGTAGGTCTCATAAATATACTAAGTGACATATAAATCCGAACACCCAGTTTAAACGGTTTTATTTTAATAAAAGTTGGTGAATGTATTCATCTTACTGTAAATAACAAGTGAAAAAATTTTCAGCCTTATCAGTTGGACATTCCGGTTTTTATACTGCTTTTTTTTAATTCACTAACGCTCTAAAAATGAATATTTCAGCCGCAGTAAAGAATCAACGTTGGCGGATTTTGGTTCTTGACATCCTTTACGATCGGTTACGATGCCTAGAGTACGGAGACCTGTACGATTTCGTCAACTTAGTGAGTTTGATAGGGGCCGTATAGTGGGACTTCGGGAAGCTGGACTTTCTTTTCGGGCAATTGCAGTTAGAGTGCAAAGAAGTGTAGACACTGTGGTTAGGTGTTGTCAGGCATGGCTTCGAGAAGGCCGTACGCAAAGAGCAAGGGGCACTGGATGCCGTCGTAGAACAACAGACCGTGAAGATCGCCGCCTAAGATTATTGGCCTTAAGGGACCGTTTCTCCACTACCAGGTCCATTGCAAATGAATGGTTTGTAGAACACGGAAGACCTATTGGCATGCGAAGTGTTTACCGACGAATGAGAAGTTTTGGCTTGTTTTCATACCGGCCACACTGGGTCCTCCCTTTAACTCGAGAACACCGACGTAATCGCCTTGAGTGGTGCAGACAACGGTCACTCAACAGTATTATCTTTAGTGACGAGTCTCGATTTTGTTTAGGCATGCACGATGGTCGTGCCAGGGTTAGAAGGCGACGTGGTGAAAGGAGGAATCCACAGCTTTTGTTGAAAGACATGTTCATCACACTGTTGGAGTTATGGTTTGGGGTGCTATAGCTTATGGTTCCAGGTCACCTTTAATCTTCATCAGAGGTAACATGAACGCGCAGCGTTATATCCACCAAGTTCTTTTATCCTATCTTGACACCCTGGCAGATCCAACTTTCCAACAAGATAATGCCCGACCACATGTTGCAAGAGTCACAATAGACTTCTTTCAACATAGTGATGTCACATTGTTACCTTGGCCACCAAGATCTCCCGGCTTATCCCCAATTGAGCACGTGTGGGATATGATGGGTAGGAGATTGCTCAATTTGCAACGTCCTCCTCAGACTCTAGAAGCACTTCGAGAGGAGTTGGTGGTTGCCTGGAATGAGATACCACAGGAGGACATTGACCACCTGATCAGAAGCATGCCTAGGCGCGTTGAAGAATGCGTAGCACATCAGGGTGCATCCACACATTATTAAAGGTCAAAGGGCTTTAAAGCAGTGCAATCATTTTGAAATTTTTATCATTTACTTAATTAAGCTTCATTAAGTACTTATACAAAATTTTATTAAAATAAAACCATTTAAACTGGGTGTTCGGATTTATATGTCACTTAGTATACCTAAAAATCTTATTTAAAGAGTTTTTTCGTTCGTGCCAACACTTTCAAGTAAATCTCAAAAAACACGTTTTTCATTCTTTGTTGTAGAATAAGAAGTTTGCCCACCAAAATTGGGGAACCCATTTTATGCGTCCATATTTTAAATGCCCCCTTGAACAACTTGCATCAATAAAACCCGACTTTACAATTATTTCTGGGAAATTTGCTAATATGATTAGACTATTAGGACCAACCCAGCTCTAGTATACACATGTTAAGCTTTCAACAATATCTCAAACAAGCACGTCGTTATTCGCTCTGTGACCTTTGCTCTACATTCAATCGTGTTAATGATTACCGTCCGTTCCGTAGTGGTGTCCAATCGATCTTCGTTGCAGATATGCCTTCGTTTTTTGGCATACTTCCACCGAAGTTTGCAAACGGCTCGGCGTGTTGCTAATAGTGAGTACTAGAGATATTAAAACTTCTGCAGAAGGAAGTTTTTAACCGAGACAGCCGACCACTGAATTCGCCTTGTTCGTTCAGGAAGTTTCTGTTTGCTTGTTTTTTTTTTATTGTTAGGAACAGGAACTAACGTTTAATTTCGTAGTAATTCTTCTCTGATTCAGTTAGCACGCCAGAAGTAGCTGAACAGAATTTGAGAAGAATACGAGAATGTCAAATCAAGGTCAAAACAATTTTTTGCCAGATATTTGCACCTTTAACCGCGAAAATAGAGCCCAAAATTGTACGTCCAGTTGAGCTCGTGGTCAAGGTCAGTTGCAAGGTCGGGCGCGGAGAGCGAAAAGTTTGATTAATAAATTTATTGAATGAAAAATATATTTCGTATGCTGCGAATGGATAATAAATATCCCCACTATGAATGTAAAGACAAAAGTAAAGTTGAACTAAAAATGCTTTCACTACAAGTGATGGACAATGAATTCATCCATCTACACTGCATTTATTTTTGACATTTTGGGCGCCACCGGTTGTTCTGTGGACCCCATATGTTTCGGGTTAGATCTCTAATACCCGTTTTAAATCAACAATTTCACGGGTTTCTTCAGGGTTATTCGGATTATGTTTTGCAATGTTTACATCAATGAACAAGTTCATGAATTATCTCAGAATTGACTACTATCTACCGTACAGACTCGGGACGCTTTGGCACCGACGAGCCATCGGTAATCTGGCTCTCTACCGTTATGTCAACGGGTTTTGCTCCTCAGAGCTGACGTTCTTGATACAGCCTAACGATGAGCCTTTCAAACAGGCCCACCTGACTTCGGCCTCCCATTCTAACCGTGTCATACTGTTCTGGCCAGTACGACCATGCCTTTGCCCCTAGGGTGTCGAGATTGTGGCAGAATCTGCCCGAGAAGACTTTTCTCAGTTCTGCTAACCTTAGACCGTTCAAAAAAGAAATTAACAAAGTATCCATGATATTTAGAACAGGCCCCGGTATTTAGGCTTCTACCTACGCTACTGCTTCGGTATAAAAAGAATATCAAGTGTTAGAAGTATAAAGTCTACTAAATTTCTCTAAGCATCTCCCCAATTAACAATGCGACTATACCCTAAAATAAATATCATTAATTTTAAGCAGCTTGGCTATCCACAATACGTCCAAACTTTTAATGACGAGTTATTTATAGCATGTATATATATACTTATAAATTGAGCTTCTCAACTTTATCGACTCAAAGTTCTGCATGATAAACAGTTGAGCAAAATCGAAGAGGTAACCTAATTCACGCCGAGCATTGGCGACAAAACTTCATCCATTGTAAGAGCTTGCAGATGCTCAAACAATTTCAAACTGCAGTTCCGCAGGATTTGTGGACGTATAGCGAATGATAAGAGACCCTGCAAGATGGTAGCTTTGAAGATAAAAGGTAAGTATTTTCGATTTACTATTGAAAATATTCGCTTTCAGAGTCATATGACTGTATATTAGGAGATATAGTAGCGCAGACCTAGAAATGTAGAAGATGCAATTTTTTCGTTTTTAGTCAAAGGTTTAAGAAAGGATCGGAACGAGGCCATGTATTTGATGAAAATGTTGGTTTACGTTAACAGTCAAAATTTTCTCGCGATGCGATTGTCTCAAAAATGACTCAACATTGACAAAATGGCCACCATTGCAGACAGAGTAGCGGACTTCTTGTCAAAGTAAAATTTAAAGTACTATCCCATAGTTTCTCGATATTTAGACACGATTTTACAGTTGACCCGGGGGATATAAAATCTTGATCAGGACCAATGAAAAGGCATCTTTCTAGTAATGGATCAAATGAGTAGAGTCGATTTCTTCTACAATATTGTGTAAGAAGGACCCCTAATCCCCGTTTAAAATCAAGAAATTATTATTTAAATCACCTGGAACAATTAGAAAGCGTCTTCGTAAAGCTGCATCTTAAATTGGCCAATCGGAAACAAGTCTCATAGACCGACCTTGCAGATAATACAACCAAATTCAAAACAAACATAAATATCTGAGAAAATTGAAAAAAGGATATATCGGTTTTTAATTGTACTCAGCAAACTCCTTAATTGTCTTCCATTATCACCGTTTTCACCGCTGTACCCAATCCGCATGTAGTCCTTCGAAGTTGTTTATTCACTGAATCAAAGCAGTTACGTCACAACGTCAAATAATGACAGTGACGCACATGTTTGCCACATTTCCTAATTAAAACTACTAGATCCTAGGACGTTTTACAAAATATACTTTATGTAGTGTATGCTAGTATAAATTGTATTCACAACCTAATACCTTTCTTACGGACTGTAAAGGCAATAATGAGGCTCCATGATCTCGTTCGGTCTCAAAATATTTCGTTAAAGAAATGACCAATTGTTTTGCTTGACGACCCAGAGGTTTCGGCATTTTAGCTAAGTGCTTAAAAGGACACCTCAAAGTATTGAAAAAACAGTTTTTATAAAATAGCAATGTCAATATTGAGGTAAAAAGAACGGAATTAAACCACAAATATACAACAGTCATTGGCGTAATTAAGTGACAAGCTTTGTGACAATTTGACAACACAGAAAACTTTTACCAACATAAATGTACGCGGGAAATTCAAACTATACGTACCAGATTAGGATCTATTTTGCATTAAGGTTGGAATTCAAATTTACTAAATTTTTTATAAAAAAAAAAGGTGGAAACCAGATAAGAAATTATACAACAAAAAGAAAGGTCTGTAATAACATAAAGTCTGAAAAATATAAAATAAACACCCTCCTTTCTTTTGCTTCTTTGTCGGATAGAGATAGGATCTGTATTCGATTTCAGATAATAACGATTCTGGGATTTCTGGACCTCCTAACACGACACCTTCGATGATGTTCGACAACTTCCAAGTCTCAGGGTTTGATGGGGATCGGATGGGAATAGTTGGTCTACTTATAGATTGCTAATAATGATCTGACACCGAGACTGTCGGGATTAAACTGTATCAAACTGTATCAAACCACTACCTTAAATAACATTAACCACAAACTCAAAAACAACTCAGTATAACATTCAAAATAAACTCGTACTGATCGTGGCATCTCTTGAAATAACTCTTTTTGTAACCAAATTTTCTAAATAAGGAGCCAAGTATTTCCTGCCAGGCCGCACCCAGAAACAAGATAACATTTTTCGTTCACCGTTACGTAAGTTTTATCTTGATCAAAATTCAACAACCACAGATTTCCTTCATTCTTGTAACAAATTAAGATAGCAAGTCCAGGTGTGAATACTATGTTTATGCATTGATTAACATATTCCTCGTGTCGTTAAATCACCCTACTTAACGCATGTGAATATGTGCGAACGCATACTCGCACCTCCACCTCTAGTATTCGTTTTCGCTCTACTCTTGACAGTTGATACATTTGTAGTGCCAGGCTAATAACAGTAAACATGAATAATATGTACCTATTAAAAACAAATGTTTCTTATTTTAGCACATATTTACATTTATTGTTCATTTCAATTAAAAGGGTCGAAATGGAGTGTAATTCGATCAATCTAACTTTTATTTTGTGGATTTAACACGTTGACTGCCACCATGGACTGAAGAAAAAATGCCTTACTGGCCGTAAGACAATTTTTCCTTGATTCCTCTCAAAATAATCTAAAATGCAAGCAGGATAAAAATAAAACCTAAACAAAAATAAAAAACGCTGTTTTTACAACTATTTTTTTGTGGTGACACATTGGCATCACGCGGCTGGTCATGACTAGATTATGCCTGTTGGCCGCGTGAGACCAACGCATCACCACATTTTGCCTGAATGCACCGAAATCTAAAGAGTTTGTCGCGTATAACAGTTGAGTTTTCTTTTTATTAGTTTGATCAATAGTTTATAATACCCTTTATAGTCGAGAGTGTTATAACAATCATGTCATATGAGGCAGAACAACTTTGGCAAGAACTTTTATCTAAAGACGAAATAGACGATGAAAACTTATTTGGAGAAACATCATCAGATGAATATCAGCCTTCTGACAATATGACTGACTCTGATTCGGATTCAGGAATAAAAAGACCGAAAAGTGAAAAATCTTTGACAGCGAGTGTACAGGACCTTGTTGAGGGAAGCCAACCGTCAACTTCGGGAGCTGTTGTGCAGAAGTTCGATGCTGGCAGTAATGCCAGTTTACAACAAACAATTGAAATCTCATAGGTCATAAGCAAACGTTGCTATGCGTAAAACTCTGCAAACGACACTAAAATGCACAGGTTGCGAAAAGCACTACTGCTTAGATTGTTTCTTTCAAGTTCACATTTGTAACAGAATTAACTAATATTTTCAGTTTCACATGTTTAAGTTCTCGTTTTGTTTATCTTTTTTTTTTCACAAGATTTGTCATAATTGAAATAATTATTTAGAAGTAGAAAAAAATGAAAACTATAACTTCGACTCTTACTACAATATTTTGTCATGTGAGACCACAGTGGTATCACACAAGTTAAGGCCAACAGTTCCTACGGATTCATTGGGCCGCCTATTAATCGATACAATGTAATTCAAATGCAGCTAAGAGACCACCGTGGCTTCACGCAGCAATATGGGTTCTCTGTCAGTGCGAGTCCACGTAGGAATCATGCGGCCAGAATTTTCATTTTACTATGGTGACACGTTGGTCTCACATGGCAGTCAACGTGTTAAGGCAATTTCACCCTTACGACTTTTCGTTGAACAACTTGATGTGGTATCACTAGACTGTTCTGTGACTGGACAGCTGAGCTGATGAAAGGTAGTACTGGTTAATACTTAGTATAATAAAGATTTTCCTGTCTTCTTTCGTTTTCCCAAAAACATACATACTTTAATCATATGCATACCAATTTAATCGACACGATGCTTTTTAAAAATATATCCTTTTTTCTAAAATTGTATCTCTCTCAGGTAAGTAATACACTGTTCTTTTCAATAAAGTACTCAGTAATTGATGTCATATCAATCTAGGCATTACATCATATTTAATACACAATTCGGGCATGGATTAAAGGCTCCTCTCCGGTTGGCCAGTTTTCGATACAGTTATACAAAAGCATGATTTAATTTGTCATTGTTTATACGATTCATAGGATTTGATCTCCAAATCAATTGAAAAACTATGTTTTCCTAGGTAAACCATGTAATTTATAATAAATTTCTTGAGATTTAATATGCGGTTTAGACCTACAAATCGTATATTTTTTCGTTAGTTTGAGAGATACTTCAGAAAAAATCGACTATATTCAATAGATCCATTCCTCCAGAAATACCTTCTTCCATTATGATCCGGATCAAGAATTTTGATATCCTGTTAAATCGGACCTTTTATCCTAATCCTGACATTTCTTCAAAAATTCAAATGAGTATATTTACACAATTTCGGGTTGAACTTTCGACAAGCTTTATTTTGCTATAAAATATTCTGAATATTTACTACGTTTTCCATATTTCCCATCAATGGAGAAACTTCCTAGATAGCGGCAATATTGGCAAAAGAGGATATAATCCAGTTTCATTCAAATTTGGATCCATACTACCAATGTTTACATTCCCGCCTAAGGCAGAAACTGTCCTGTTTGTTAGCGAACATTGTTCAACGCTGTTTATCAATGTTTGATGAGAAATTCTAGTTAATAAATCAGAACTGTTCAGAGGGGTGAAAGTCATGAGCAGAGCTAGGAAATTAATTTTGAGCAAGATTTAAAACCACCAGAATCAATAGTATGCCTCATTAAATAGTCCAAGAACACTTTTAATTTTCAGGCGCGCAAGTTCAAAAATGAGATATTATATTTTTGGATGTTACATGTACATCACGAAAAAAAAATGTCACTCATTTCCGTCAGTCTGCCTGTCTGTCTGTATGTATGTCTGTTTGTATGTCGGTCTGTCCGCTAATCTTATAAGCGCCTATAACTTGAGAAGTACCGCTCGGATTTCGATGAAAATTTTATACAATATTACTAGTGTTCCAAGGACGCAGAATCCAGAATCTTTATAGTTTTTTTTTAAATAAATATCGTTAAATATTTTTCGATGTTTCAGATGTTTGTCTCAATTTTTATGCTCGTACATAATTGGTAATTCTACGCACCTACAAGACATATTTCTCGCATCATAACTTTCTCTGAGCCTTTCTCGGGACACAGATCGCGTACCTATCGGCCGCGACTGCTGCTGGCGTCGCGCGCCAACCGTAATGAATGTTCTGGTATGGGATCACACGTATATATGCGGCGCAACAGCATAGTATTTTCTATGGTCTGACCAAGCTACCACCTCTGCCCGAGCTAGATAAAGGGTTGAGGCGACTTTCCCAGGTGCACTACCGGTAGGGCAGGGAAAAAATGTCTATGGACTAATTGTATGGACCTGTTTGACTGATTTTTTTCTCAGAGGTTTTGTACAGAATATATTCCTTTATGTACTGATAAGGGCGTTGCGTGGGAAGTGCAGAGTCAACCGACTTGACGCCATTCCTTAGGTGTTATATGACAAGTATATAATATACGGTTTTTCGGATCTACTCCATTCCTTGGAGCCGACCAAACCACATTTAGTTTGTTCGTACAGCCTGTTTGCTGACAATCAGCAACTGATAGTCGGCGACAAGTCATGATCTAGTTTACGCAGTTAGCTGTCACTGACCCATCGCTGACTGTATTAATTGCGTACATGAGAACGTTACGAGTTGGCTGAGGGAGGTCAGACCGATTAGCGACAACTAATCCGCTGTTCGTACAGAAACTTCTGACTGTTTGATTACTGTCAAATCAGTCAGCAGATAATTTTCCAGTAAATTGTCAGAGCTCGAAATCAAGTACAATAATTATTCGAATGTGAAATTTTTCAGAATGAAGTAGACAATTTTGAAAAAGTTGGAGGTTCATTTGCTGTAAATCAGAATGATCTAGGATTTTTCGTCCAACTGTCCAAATGTGCCCGAATTTTCCTTTAGAGAGGAAAACATGGACACTTTCTAGAAAAAATAACAGCACCCAAAAATGTCAAGTAGATTTACTCAGTAATTACCATTCCATTCTCATTCATGAAGTATAAACATAAATTCGAGGAAATATGACTCCACACATCGAATGACAAGTTGAAGAAGGAAATACATAGTAAGAATTCTGAATAAACGTCTGCAGTGATTATGCCTGAGAAATGTACAAAGTATTGTTAATAACTTTTAATAAAACTCGGATAGTAGGGTTTTTGTTCCCTGTTCCCTTGTCGCCCAGCCTCGAAGTGTATGCGCAAACAGTATTTATATATTCTGGCTATGTAAGTCCAACACAAAGCTGATGAAAATATAAACAAAATAACGAATCCTGGAGATTTTGTGATACAGCTTTTTCTCACGGGTGCCCACTACACCCTATACAGGGTATTTTAAATTCGACCCTCACCATTGGGATCTCGGATACGAAGTCACTTAAATAGGGCAAAGTTGCGTATTAAGATAGTCAGCAAAATGTCGCTTAGAAAGTTTTGAAATTGAAAGTACTTCCGGAAAGAGACGTAAAATACTAAATTTTCCAAAATGGTTTCAATTTTCTCCTGACTTTATTTGTGGTGAGATTTCAAAATAAATTGCACATGAACTCTGTTACATTTTCTCCAAGACGGCACAATTAGAAAATGACGTTTCGTCTCGTGTCCTTCACCATCAACTTAATTTTTTTTATAGACGCCATATTGGATTCTTACACACATGAATAGAATTTTTATTCTGATTTCAAACATGTATGTCATACATTGACATTGCAAAACCTTAGTTATTCCAGAAGTTCCTAGGTGGGCCTTGAAATTATTAGATTTCATTTGTTTGCATAGCAACAGAGTTTGAAAGACTGTGAATACCTCTGCTTATTTATGGTTATTATTCTTATTACCGTCAATAAATTTTTCATTTCGTATTCAGGTTTCACCATATCTTTTTATTTCTGTTTAATTTTCATTCAACAACAAATTTATGGTCAAATAACAATCACTGAATTTAGGGCTTAAAAAGTCCATTTAAATGTACAAAATACCAATATAGTGTCTGTATGAAAAACAAATTTGATGATGGAAATCGAAAGAAGAAATGTCGAATTGAAAATTTGACTACGCCATCTTGCAGACGAGAATATGCAATTTGTTTTGAAATTTCATCTCGAATAGAGTCGGGAAAAAATAGAGCGGTTTTGGGATAAATCTGGTGGGCGAAACAAACATCTGATAATTTCAAGGCCTACCTAAGAAATTCTGTTTTTCTTAAAGTAATAAAGGTTTGACAACGTCAATGTATGACGTACTATGCATTTTTTGAATCAAAATCAAAAACAAGAGACGAACCCTCATATGGAAATTCTGATTATGCCTTCTTGCAGAGAAGAAAACGTGGCACTGTTAATATGCAATTTATTTTAAAATCCCAATATAAATAAACTCAGGAAAAAATCAGAACAATTTTGGGAAAATTTAGTTTTTCCGTTACCCTACGGAACTACTTTGAATTTCAAAACCTTCTAAGTGTCACTTTGTTGACAACCCCATTTGAGCGACTTCATATCCCTTACAGTTTCTAAGGACCCAATGGTGAGTGCCAAATTAGAAACACCCTGTATATGCAGACTCTTAGTAGAAGAAAGGAGTGAAAAGACTACAAGGATTCAATAACGCCTTTGAATAATAAAAGGTGTTATACACTAAAAAGCTAAAACGGCTGAACCTAACTACAATTATCAAGATCTGCTTACATAGCTATAAGTTTCACAGAGTTCTCAACATGAATAAAGAGAACTGGGACAACGAAAATACATAGAAGTAAGACATAAATCCCGTAATTACGCATTTTGCAACTGTAACAAAAATTTTCAAAAGATTAGTGATCAAAAAAATCGAATTAATTATGGTTATTTCCTCTATTGTTCGAATTTTTCTTACTGTATATTTATAATCTTCATTTTGGGTCAATAAACAAAATATTGAGCACAAAGCACTTTGGCGCTGGCTGATATTTAAAATAGGATTTTATTAAAATTTCTTCAGCAAGTTGCTCACTTGAAATGTTACAAAAACTTGTTTCTGTTGAAGTGTGGCACTGTTTTCACTACAAAATTAAGATTTTTGGGTTTCATTTTTTTACACCAAAGCAGCCGCGCAGGTGAACCCTACATGCCATGGCACTGCGGCTGCTTTCAGGAGCTTAAATAAACTTTGTTATTCCGATTTTTGGAGTGCCTAAAGTTAGTAGAACTGGGAAAATCTAATCAGGTAGATTGTTACACTATCTCGACACCCTCGGGACTAAGGAGCGGTCTTATCGGCCAGTTCTGGATGTACGAAGTTCGACACGCTTACGATGGGGGGCCGAAGTCAGGTAGTCACATCGCGGGGCGACACCATGGAAGAGGTGTCCTCAGACCGTCCATTAGAGAAAAGTTCATTAAATGCGAATCAATTTTAGTCCTCAAGATAGGTTCCGACACACTCTGATACCTGTCACTGTGACTGGTTGACTGGTGCCCTCTGATCTGTCAGAAGGTTCTGTACGAACAGCGGATGAGCTGTCGGCAAACAGCCAGGATCTGTACGAACAGGTGACATCTCTCTGATTCTGATTTTGACAGTCACCGACAAGTTACCGACCACTGTACGAACAAACCATTAGCCTACAGCACAAGCTGCCAACCAACTTTCAGAAGAACATCCCTTATGAACACACTAACGTGACTTCAGTCATATGCTTAGATACGACATATTTATTACTTGGGCAAATACTGAAAAGTTTGCAAGCTATTCGCTTATGTTTCCGTCAGTTTCATGTATGTTTGCAATCTAAATAGAACCAAAGTAGGATTGACGCCCATATTCAACAGCATTTCGAGTTTTACTTGGCAAAAGTTTCCATAAAGTTATACGCAACCAGTTTAGACGATGGAAGATGTTTAACTTTTACGATATACAAAATTTCCAGTATGAATATGTTCCGATGCAACTTATCCAGATAGCGTTACATGTTAATATTTTGTGTCAGTCTCTCAGGTTAAGGGCATTCAGCAATGCAAATCATACCAGGGAGAAAAGGTTGAATGCACTGAAACTGACATAGATAAAAGTATAATGCAGTTCACGCTAGGTGGCGCTATCAGCAGCTGGGTACTTCTCATTTCATGTTCAGTGCATATCCTGTTTTTCCGTGTCGTACGTACTTAATAAGTTGAGTAGTATTCACTTCAACACATAGAGCCTATATACCAGGAGAAGCGACGGCAATGCTTTTCGTGCTGTAGAAATGATCCCGGAACTTGGAACCTGGGTATAACACCAGTATTGCTTTGACAGGGTCGCCATGTTGAGGGATGTTCCTCCAAATTTGGGAAATTTTTACTTGGGGATTTTTTGGGGGATATAACGTTCTGGGGTATATCACACGTCTCGCGGATAAAAGGCATCTTCCCGATCTTTGAACCAAACCAAATTCCTTCCCACTAATTAACTGTGATTTGGAGGATTTTTGTGAAAAAGTAGCAACTCTGAGAGATTTTTGTGTTTGTTCTGGGGAAATTCTGTCCGACCCATCTGGCGACGCTGTGCTTTGACAGATCGACCATAGGATTACCAACAAACAAATTGCCATTAACCTCATCATAAATTAACTCAACTACTTTTGATTATTTTTTGTAAATCCTTGGTGTAAATAGTCGGTAATATGTTGGAAATGGTTACTGTTACTTAGCTACTTGTGAAGAAGTGTTGAAAAGCCTCCCTTTGTGCGGTGTTGAATTATGTAGTAATGAGGAACAGTAACATGTTCATTACTTGGAGTTTCTGCTATTCTCCAAAATGCTTGTGAAAGAATCAGTCTTTTGTCCAAAGACCAACCAGATTTATCGATTCGAGTCATTGAAAATGGGTTTTCTAGATAAAAGAATAACCGAAATATCAAAGAATTTGTTCCAGTTGCCTTGAAAAACAAAATTGGTGGAGCAAAGCGTGTATTTTCTAGTAGCTCCAGCAGATTTAACAGACAAGGGCGGTCCTGATTGAATTTCTTGTCAAAATATGGAATACTACAAACCTATTCTATTTTGATGTTATCAGTTTGGGATTAACAATTTTGCTAACTTCAGATACCATTTGCATGCGCAAGTTTTGGGGTCGTTTTTTTTTTCTCATTTTGTCGATTCTCCTGGTAAAGAGGCTCCATGTTTCAATACTTCAAATATGCTTCGAATTTCAAAAGTTTAAAACTATGATCTCTTCGACGATACGATACAAGCAAGTGCTAATCTACATTATAATTCATTCATTATGAAATTATGGATGAACTTATTTTCAGAACGGTTCAGATAAATGAATATTGCTTCGACAAGAGATGCAGTCATCAGAATTTTACAATACCAGCTCCAAGAACATCATTCGATATAATCCAATAATGGAACGAAGCGAGACAGCTCATCACAAACATGGCAATCTAAGATTCTGTTTGTGAAAGAGATTTTCCTGCAGATGAAATAAAGTTAATTGAAAGTGAAGGCATGCATTTTTCCATCCTGCGACTGAATCTTTTGTATTTGTATATGGTTCATAACCTGTTTTTTCAAAATGAGTTTCGATAAGCATCTAAAACACGTTATTTACTCGCTTAGTCCTTTGATAACAAATAGAACTCATACACCCTACATTTTCGCCTAATATACTTGCCTACACCAACACATATCATTTCTTACACTGGCTAAGTTGCCATGTTGAGAGATTTTCTCTCAAATTTGGGTGATTCTTAGGTGGGGAATTTTTTGAAGGCATAATATTCAGGGGGAAATCTCACGTTTCGCGGATAGAAATCAGCCCCCTGCTCTTTGAACCACACCTATTCCTTTCCATTAATTAACTTGGCGGATTTGCTTGTCTGGCACCGCTATTCTTTGACAGATCCACCGTATGAACCTTTCTAGTCTAGGATCCGACGGCAGGCAACCCTGCTTTAATCTATTCTACTATTATTTATCATTCATAAAAATTAAGTTTAAATTTACGCAGCCGTGTCTCGTACTATAACCTCAGATACCCTGCGCATTCGCAGTAGTTGGTTTTCGCTTGGATTACTGCGTCCTCAGTCAGGCTTCAAGTTTTGAGGTCGTTTTTTGCTTAATTCGTCGGTTCTCCTGATACATCCCATATCATATAACATCGAAAAACGCTCTGTTCGTCGAGTTTTTATCATCGCGCTTGTAGCGTCTATATAACATGTTACTACACTGTATTCATATCTCATCTACAAATACAAGGGTGCGATGTCCAAATTGGCGCTCTGTTATTGGTCAGCGAGCCATGAATGCCTGGGCAGGCAGCGACAATTGAAAAAAGTGACGACCGAGTGCTCATATTTGTTTTGGGTCGGAGTAAATTAAGTTGGAATAACATGGCCTGCTCATCCTCTGTACGACGTGTAAGATTCTTTGAAAGTGACTTGCAAGTTACAAGACCTGAAAGGCGGACCTATTCTATGAAATAAGAGCTGATTTGATTTGTGCATATACTGTGCTTTAAAGCAAGGTCCTTACCCCCTCCAGCACTTATTTTTTGACCGGGTAAAGTCAGCAAATTTAGATTTATAATGACGCTGATTTGCTTACCGTGTTTTTCCCATCAAGCCCTTTTATTTGATACCATATCATAGGAGTCACACTCGAACTAAACATGTACATATATGAAACTTCAGCTTAATTGGTTAAGGTTGACTGGTTCAAAACAACATTCTAAGAAACAAGTCAAGTTAAAAAAAGGGCTGGAATTGTAAAAAAGCTAGTGTCTACTTACGTTTGCTGCAGCCAGCATAAGGATTGTTAAGTTTAACGGGATGCTTTTTGTCGCACTCGCAGGTGCCGCTGACCGGGTTGCAGTACACGTGTAACAATTTGGGGCTGCACGTGAATTCACAGGGGGCGCCCACGTACGTTCCTTTCTCGCCTGCAATCAAACGATATCGTTAAAGCATGCAGTCCAGAAACTAACTCAGTCTGCATGGAAGAATATTAAGATTCGATATTTTTTAATGATCTCATTAATAGAGGAATGAATTATTCTGCATGTCGCCAAGGCCAATTTTTTTTTTGGACAAATTCTAAAAATGTTATTTTTGCACCGGACAAAGCTTTTTAGGTTTTTCTGATGATTTTGAATGGAAAAGATTTTTTGAAAGTTCCTCTATGGTTGATAATTTTCGAGTTATAGTTGATTTATTAGGTTATTCGGCTAAAGTTCTCGGGGTTTTTGTTATTTATATTTTAAATAATGTAAATTTATTCACAATACTTTGGCTTTATATATCATTTTAAAGCGCGATTTTCGCTCTATCTAGTCGTGGTATTCATTTTGTTTTACGATTATTTGTTTTTTTTTTTCAGGACTTCAAATATAGGATGGACACAAGGCAAATTCGCTCAACTTTCTTATTCCACTTCAAATTAGGCCGAAAAGCTGCCGAGATAGTTCGCGACATTAACGATGATATTGGCCAAGGAACCACTAACGAACGTACGGCGCAATGGCGGTTCAAAAAATTCCGCAGCGGTGACGAGAGCTTTGAAGATAAAGCGCCCAGTGGTCGGCCATATGATGTCTACGACGACGGCCCTGACCAAACCTATTGTGAACAAAATAAAAATAATGTTTAAAATGTATTCGTACTTCTGAATATCAGTAGATTAAGCATCATTTTATATATATATATATATATATATAATATGCATCTATCAGTAATAACATAATCTTACATCAAGCATTTTTTTTCAACGCCTACTTAAATAAAATAAAAAACGTTTTTCCTTTTGACTAAAAAAATATATAACATGTGATATGTCGTTGATTTCGTAGAAAAAGATGCTATCAGATACAAGGTTTACCTTTTTCGGGTCATATAAAAGCAGATTTTTCCTAATTTAACCTAAGCTGTATCCCTCAGATATTGAGAAACCCATGCATAGGATCCTTATCTTGGATATATGACGCTGTTTCATCCTTGCTTGACATCATCAGTGCGATATATGTCATGGGATAAGCTTATCGAATCAATCTATGTTTAATTCAGGCTGTATACTTTTGTAAATTGATGTGGCAATTTTCTTTTAGAATGAAAGCATTGCTCCGTAGAAGCAGCTTAATCCAGCAGATTCAGAAAATCGTCAAGAAATACTGGTCCTACAGACAGAAGTGGAATTGTGTTTAGCACATTTATTTCTTTGGATTTATTGGATATTAATAATAAAATTGTAAGAACGTTCCTCATAATAACCAAAGTCTCAAATCAATTAAACTCCAAATTATCGTCAAATAGTAAAAATATAAAATCAATTAATTTTATTCTCGTTTTTCTCAGCTACATCATTATCAGATATAAAATCAAAAACATCATACAAAAGATGTGTACCATACGCTCTGGTATTGATAATGCTTTTAAGATGATCTCTATTGTGATCATTGTGAAGCCACTTGGGATCTTGATAGCTAGTGGAAGACAGGTCTTTATTTTTGCCTTTTTCAAAAATGTGTATGGATTTTACAAAGTGCAGAGACCTAAAATTCTCTAACCGTTTAATAATAGTGTTCGTTTTTATAATGAAACCAGCCATTTTTACATGCTTGTGAAACCTAGCTTCCTCTTGTATTTCATTTCTATCTGAAACGATTAGACCCACCAAGAATAATCCTCATAAAAAATAGGAAGGTGCTAGTCAAAATTCTACCAAAAATTGGATATTCTCTAGGTTCTATAACAGGATCGTCAAGCTGTCTAGTAAATCATACAAGACTTAAAAACAACGTTTTCGAAAAATCTGCTGTAATACTAGTGAAATTGTAATTTCCTTTATCCATATCAGTTGTATCACCAGTTTGAAATACGATGTAAAAACATATAGCAAAAGCAATGAACTGAATGGAATAGATACCAAAATACTGCAAGAAGTATTTTGTAGAACCGAAAATAAGCGTATATTTAGTAAAAGTAGGCATTTGATTCAACATTAAACACAACATCACAGTCGAAAGCAAAATTGAAATAACCCTAGCATATAATTGTATTTGGTATAGGTATCGTTGCTAACGTAAAACCAATAATAGAAAGCTCTGTATAGTTTGATATGTCCGAGAAATATTTTAAATGACTGTATCATTTCTTTACAAAATTGCATGAAAGGAAGCGTGTAAAGCATATAGTTAACAAATAAACTAACAAAACCTACGTGACTGAAAATCATGTACTGGCGATATGTCGTAGTTTGAATGTTACTAAATGATCAGCTGTCTCTTGTCACGTTTTGATGTAAATAGTTCGTTTTGTGGAAGCTTAAGGGTTTTAAATAAATTATCTCGTCCAATACAGCAAGCTTGGCATCACTCAATCTAGTCCCCTGATTATTACTATGTAGTGATATGAGTTTGTTAAGAAACATGTACAGTGAGTTATTTCTGTAGATTTTATGATTCCTGAGAAAATTGGCGCGAGTATTAAAAAATAACTTTGGCAACATCTCAAATATATCATCCATATTTATTTGGCTTTCCTTGTGCAACAGCAGAACTGCCACCGTTGGATAATACCCATGTACTGACGCAGCTTCTAGTATAGTAACTTTATGTTTGCTATCTGTTAAGTTGAGATCTGCGTTGTTGTTTAAGAGATGATATATACATCTGAAATAAAAATTATACTGATTACTGGTGGATGCAAGCCCGCGCACAACTGTTTGTGAGCTTGCGGAGGAGCTTGAGTTGATACTGCGACCATTTCCGATCACTTCGACGATACCAAAAATGCCTTCAATGAGTTCATCGCCTCCAGAACTCCGTATTTCTACGTTAGCGGCTTAAATAAACTTGGCAAAAGTGTACTGATTCTAATGGTATTTATTCTGATTAATAAAGTTTTGTTAAAGCTGAGATATGCTCCTTTGAATTTAAAGGTTAAAAACTGCAAAAACTTTCCGAACAACGTAATAATATTTGAAAAAGTCTTTTAATTTTAATCTTTTCAAAGTTCTTCAATATTGTTCAAACATCTGTTAGCAAAATCCCAAAGCATTTCATGGGGCATCGTTATTGTGAACCTTGGTTTTTACTTCTTACGCTGCTGGCCATTATAACGCGAAAAAATTATATTTTTTTTTAGATGTTATATAACATGCACATCACAAAGAATCTTGTCATCCATTTCCATCGTTCTGTCGGTTTGTCTGCCTGTCTATCTGACCACCATTCCTTGGCCCGTCTAAAGCTTGGAAAGTACGGCTCGGATTTGGATGAAATTTTCACACAAGATTACTGCGGTGCCAAGGAGGAGAAAGTCAGTTATTTAAAAATGGTCTAGTGGGGATGGAGCTACGTGACAGGAAATGAAAAACATAGAAATCGCTCAAAATTTGTTTTCAACGTTTCAGAGGCTGATCATTTGAAAAAAATGTAGTTGTTGGAAATTGGAGCTTTTGGGATTGTAGGGGTGGAGGAGGGTATATGATAATGATGATAATAATAATAAGGTTACCTTATCTTTTACATCATAGCAAAGCTTAGCGTGACGGCTAATCTTCCACTTAACATTAATATCGACGAAACACCAAAAGTTTACACACGCAACATAAAACAATTACTGGGCAGTTATTATACTACTTAGAAGCACATCCAGCAAGAAATAAAATGGTAACATTGGAAACACGAACGAATGATTAAGAATTAAATAGTATCAAAACAATGACTCAAGCGTTGATATTTGCATATCTAACAGCTGTTTTCTAAACGATTTTTTAAAAACTTATTTGTTTGTTGAACGTACAGAGTGAATTGTATAACTGAACGGCATTGTTCGTAAAATATCCTTGATACCACGGAGTACGGTGAAGAGGAATATCGAACTGTTCATCATCGCATAACCTTCTTAAATTTCAGAGAGGAAGTAACCTACTTGCTAGGTCTCTTGGTGATGATTGTTTTATATATAAAAACGAACAGTACAAACTCAAAACTATTTTGGAGCTTCAACTGACAAATCTTAGATGTAACACGGTAACAACAACAGTTTTGAATTTTCTGCAATCAGGTTTTTGTTATGGAGTCAGGACAAGAATAAAGTAGGGTGACACGCAATGAAAGCAGCTTAGACATAACCAAGCTCCCTACTAATTTCTTTCAAGTTTTTAAATTGAGGATAGCATGATTAGAATATACTACTGACGTGGTGATGAAATCTAAGATTTACGTCTAAACTGACACCTAAACTTTTTGCAAATTTGACCAATGGAATATAGACGTTATTTACTTCAAAATCAATCGTCTTTTCAAAACTTTTATGGTTGGTTTTGCGACAGAATAATATTGCAAAACTTCAAACAGTTGACCACAATTTCATTTTTTTGATGTCAATATACAGTGCTTTTCTTTAATATCCCCCTCCTGTTTGATTCTTTGAACGGATCAATTCAAAAACTTGAGGTAATGAAATTGATGCGTGGATACCATATTTTAGACTAAAATTGACAGATGACAATGTCAAGATGGCCGCTGGGCGCCACCTTGAAAAAAAATTATATGAAAACCGGGGTCTTGTGGCACATCATTTCGAAGCCCCTGACTGAGTACTTTATAACCCTAGAATATAAAGTAAATACCTTTAAATAATACAAAATGGTGGTACATTTAATAATTACTTGAACACAAACCCACTAACATGCATATCTCTACAAATAATTGTAATTCCCTGCCTAAAATATGGTATCCACGCATCAATTTCATTATCTCAAGTTTTAATTTTTTTAATTGATCCGTTCAAAAAATCAAAGCGGACGGGTCATTAAAGAAAAGCACTATGTAGTATGTACGCTCCCAGCCTCGGTAATTCTATGCACCTATTAAACATATTTCACTCACCATGGATTTTCCCGTACGTTTAGCCTTAAAACAGAATAATAGAATGATGATGTTTTCGATATGAGGTTCTGTGTCTGCTGTCTGAGTTCAGCCGCGGGCATGCCGGTCTCGATATGTGTCCTATGATTAGTACCGTGCTGCCGCGTTTGACGTGTCGTGTGGTCATTTATGAGGGAGGGGCATCGCTGCCAGATAGGCGGTACTAACGGTAGGGCAGGGAAAATTTTCTGTGGACTAATTGTATGCGTCTATTTGACCAACTTGATCCGTTTAGTTTCTTTGTTATACATGTACATAACTAAGTTTTCTCAGAGGGTCTAACTTGTACTAATATGAACATCATTTTTTAAATGTTAGTCAAGCGCGCGCTCAATGTATATTCGGCATGAGTGCAAGAGAAATGGCAGCATTTTATTATTTTAATTACCTTTAGTATTTACTGAGAGTTCTTGATAAATACATGATTGCTACTCCACGTTCTTCTAGCATGGAGGTTTTTGTCAACTTTTGGAAACTCTCACAACCTACTGCTATAACTCTGAAGAGGGTAAACGGGTTGACTGACTCCTGATATTTCAAGTCAAAAGTTGGGAACCTTTTAAACACAACGTGCTTCCGTCTCTTGTCAACTTGACAATTTTTGTTTACAACTCGTATATTTCAGATAATTCTTGGAATCTTAGACCCATTTATCAACGTTTATATTATGTTAATGTCATTTTGTAATTCAGAAGATAGGATTGTTTTCTGTCAACTTGTGCCAACTAGCAGGTCATTGATATTTTTTTTAGTTACGTTACGAATTGTAGGGTGTTCTCAGTATTTATTACATAATTGTCCAACTACATTAGGTAATGTTTGCCGACTTTACTAAGTTAACAGATTTCTGGGAGGTGGATTAAATATGGGATACCAATATTCCGTACACTATTATCCTTAACTTTATATGAATATACAACATGCCAAAGCATATCCAGACACAGGAATAATGACCTAGATTCTATATTCGACATCAAATATATTTGTTCGATGCTCTAAATTGAAATAACTCGCTCGTATGCTTGTAATAGTGTCACGATTAAAATCACGACGGTGTCACAAATTCATATATTCACAAAAATACGTGATAAACGAGTGTTTTCCATTTTGGGAGAACTCGTTACAAAACTTTTTATCGCAGTTATAAATTAATAATGGTATGCGATATTTCTATTAAAACTGTTCCAAACTTCCCTCGTGTATTTATTGCTACAAGTGAATATATAGCAAAGTGCTACGCTGTAATTTTAGTACAGGAAAACGAGGCATATTAGACGAATAACTAAATATGGTGTTTTCGTTTCGTGTACAGTGGTGACTGGGCTGTCAAACGCAAACTGAGATCTATACATTTCTAATGGATAGAACGTCATGGTCGATCCTGGTAATAAATGACGCTTTGTGGTTTCAAAATGCGAAATCGAATCGGAATTAGGTAGGTTCGCATAAGAACGATGGATCTTCGACCACTGCATATCAAACTATACAGGGTTATCCAAATTAAGTGTCCACCATTAGTAACTTTGTTATTAGTGAAAATACAAAGTTGTTTGAATTAGCCAACTAGTAGCATTTTTAACGCTGGTAAAAATGAGAAAAGAAAAAAACAATTGAGAGTCGTTATTTTGATTTTTTTCAGTAAAATAACATTTTTTTAAATGGAAACCCCTGTATATTATATTTTTTTCTGTTAAAGCATCAAATTTTAAACAAAAAAGCTTACAATAACTTTTCTCCTAGGTTACAAATTGTTGAAGTTATGGCCTCCAATCTGAAACAATTAAATTGTATCGACAAACTTTATTTTCAATATTAACTTATAATCTTACAAAATACAATAACAATTTTTTTTAAAGAAGATGCTCGAAAACACCACCTTGTTCTTCAATACATTTTTGGGCACGTTTTTCAACTGCTCGAACTGTCTTAAGTATGGTCCTACCATCTATCTGGGTTATCTTTTCCCTAACTGCAGTCTTTAACGCGTCAAGGTTATCGTACCTTCGCTTGTAAATTTGGTTCTTTAAGTAACCCCACAAGAAGTAATCAAGTGGGTTTAGATCTGGTGATCTGGGAGGCCACTGTATTGGGCCATTTGTTCCTATCCACTGATCATTAAAAGTAGTACTTAGAAAATGATGAGTACCTCTGGAGTTGTGGGCAGGTGCGCCATCTTGCTGAAAATGCAGATGATGTCTACTTATAAGATCCAATTCGTCTAAGAAATTAGTCAGAATTTCTGACATAAATTCCACACATCTTTCACACTTTTCTTCATGGGAGAACATTTTTCTTTAAATTAATGACACAATAAAGCTTATAACTAATGTTTGACATTATTTGATTTTATCATTGTTTTCCAAAGCCTTCTAGTTGCGAGTATGTCCAGTTTAACAATTTGTCGCTTATCTTAATGCTGTCAAATCGCGAACGCCATGTTGTTTTCATAGCCGTCTTAATATTATAATACTGCAAATAATTAAAAATATTTATCGTTATTTTGACTTTATTTTTGACTTTAGCGGAAAGGTCATTATGAACTTTTTTGTTTAAAATTTGATGCTTTAACAGAAAAAAATATAATATACAGGGGTTTCCATTTAAAAAAATGTTATTTTACTGAAAAAAATCAAAATAACGACTCTCAATTGTTTTTTTTTATTTCTCATTTTTACCAGCGTTAAAAATGCTACTAGTTTGCTAATTCAAACAACTTTGTATTTTCACTAATAACAAAGTTACTAATGGTGGACACTTAATTTGGATAACCCTGTATAAAGCAAATCTATCATATTTCTGTTTCGATGGCAGATGTAGTGAAAATTTTTGTGAC